TCCTCCTCCTCCTCCTCCTCCTCCTCCTCCTCCTCCTCCTCCTCCTCCTCCTCCTCCTCCTCCTCCTTCCTCCTCCTGACTTGCGTGGGTCCCCCATCTGTTTTTCTGAAGGTTTCTTGCGTGTCGTCTTCCCCCTCCCAACTTCCCATACTTCCCCACGTCTTCCTGGGGATCGACGATTCTGTGTCTGCGCGCGTGCTTTTTTGCCCTCTTGAGGGGTCCTATAGTTAGGTCGGGCATGCCCCCTACAGGCGGATGTTGATCGAAAAAAAGGAAATGTCCATCAAATACTCCCAAATGGTCAAAAGTAGGTAAACAAAGTCATCCCCATACTATTTTTCACTATTTTTGAATATCCCTCCTGTAGAGGGACAGGCCCAACTTCATCCTATAGATGGAGAGTCGCACCTGGCAGGAGACGCCTCCACCGCTCGCTCTGCTGGCCATCGGCCACGCCCTCTCGAGAGGGTGGAGCCTCCCTCAGGGAGCTTGCTCGCACTGCTGGGGCAGAGCCTTCGGAAGAGGAGTACAGTCATCGGCCTGGCCTAAGAAACGACAACTGAGGAACGAGGTCCCTTTTTCTCACAAAGGAATAACGCATAAGGAACGATAAACATATACATCACGCATGAGGATGAATACATAACGCATGCGAGCCTGAGGAACGACCGAGCCCATTTTGAAACATAAAAGTGTTCCTTTTTCAAGCCGCTCGCTGTGAGCAGCGGATCGCAGGCATGCCTACCCCTTTCGCCCAGGATCCACGCAGAGCACCGCCACTGTGCGAGGGACTTGCGCGGGAAGGGGGGGAGTCGGAAGCGAACGGCTCCCCCTTCTGTCTCCTTCTCTTGGCCGACCCGCCCCAGACACTGGGAGCACCGCCGTCTGCACTGGTCCGATCGCCCCGCAAAATCACGCGGCTCAGAAGCGGTGTTCCGCCGCCGCCCTGCGAGGATTCGCAACCTGCTCATGGGGTTGCCGTTAGGTCGGACGTGTCCCCCCACATGCGGATTTGGGTAGGAAAAATAAGAATATTCAAAAATTATTCAAAATGCAAAAAGTCGTCCACAGACTGTTATTTTACTACTTGGGAGTGTTCCTCCTGTAGAGGGACAGGCCCGACTTTGAGGTTACTGGCCAAAGATGGAGCAAGGTGGTCTGCCAGACGATGGTCCTCAGAACACGGGCATCACCCCTCTCTCGGGGTCCACCAAAGGGGGGGGGCCCTGAGGGAGGGGTGTGTGTTCGATCCGCTGGTGCATCGAGTCGCTGAAAAACGATGTCCCCCGCGCGCCCCGATTGTCGACTCCTCTCGGGTTCCGGCGGCGGCCGGAGATCAAGTTCTGCATAGTCTTTCTGCGGTTCGATGCGACAGCGGACCGAACTCCCCCCCCACCCTGTGGGCTCCCTCCCCTGTTGCGAGGTTCCGACTCTCAGCTACAGGCACGGCGCTGCCAGAAGAATAGCTAACCAAGGAAGGAAGGGGCCGAACGCCCGAGCCCCTCCTGATCCCAAAGTCATACATGCATATATACATACATAAATGCATACATCCAGTCATACATGCATACACACACGCAGTACATACATGCATACATGCATGCATGCATGCATGCATGCATGCGTGCATACATACATACATACGTACATACATACATTACATTACATTACATTACATTACATTACATTACATTACATTACATTACATTACCTTACATTACATTACATTACATTGCATTACATTACATTACATTACATTTCATTACATTACATTACATTACATTACATTACATTACATTACATTACATTACACTACATTACATTACACTACATTACATTACATTACATTACATTACATTACATTAACTTTCATTACATTACATTACATTACATTACATTACATTACATTACATTACATTACATTACATTACATTACATACATACATACAAACATACATACACACACATACACATACACACATCCATACATACATACATACCTACGTACCTACATACATACATACATACATGCATACATACATGCACGCACGCATGCATGCACACATGCATACATACATACATACATACATACATACATACATACATACACACAGACAGACAGACAGACAGACAGACAGACAGACAGACAGACACATATAAACGTATATGTACATACATATATACATACACAATGGTCCTATGTCAGCGCCTTGCTTGTACGGCTGGTTCGCGTCGCGATGTCGCGGGCTTTGGTTTCTGAGGTCGCGTGGATCGTGGGCTCTCCGCAGCGCAGATCGCTCGACATCGGCCGACTCTGGGCCACTGGCTGCGTCTAACCTTGAAAGCCCACGCTGAGGTGGACGCCGCGTCAACGCGGCGAAAACCTATCACACCTTGGCCGAATCCCCGCAGGCTCTCCCACGCACGCACTCGCCCGCCCGCTCGGGCCAAACCGCGCTCAACCTCGCCCTCCCGAAGTGCCCTTGAAGGCACCTTAGGCCGAAACCTCCCGCGAAGCGGTGTGCATCTTTTGAAACACTCTGGGAACTCTGCCGCTGTCTCCTCAGGAAGCCTCCCTAGACTACCATCGTCGTGCTCTCTCGGCATCGCCTCATGGACTGGACTTCTGCACTTTGCACGGCCAGGAACGCTTGCTTAGCGTATCAAGCCGGCGGCCCCGGCGACACGCTACGCCGCCGTGCAGGCAGATAGCGTGCCGCTCCGCTCCGCAAGGCGCGAGGGCCCGAGACGGTGACGCTCGGGGACCGGCACGCGGTGAGCGCGTCGCGCCGAGGCGTGGTGGGCCAGACCTGGCGGTGCGACACGCTAAGATTAGGTCGGGCATGTCCCCCTACAGGGGTTTTTTGGAGGAAACATTAAAATCAGGTAAAAACGCCATGCAAAAAAACGAAATAACGTCCCAAAATCGTCCCCATACTATTTTTTGCCTATTTTTTGCATGTTCCTCCTGTAGAGGGACAGGCCCGACTTAACGCTAAGAACACGCTCCCGCCCGTCATGCTGGCGGCCCCGTGCCTCGAAAGCGGCCCGCGGAGGCCGACCTGGCGAGGGCAAACGCCCACGCTGCGCTTCGTTTGCCCCACCCCCGCTGCGCTCGGGAGCCCTTAGGCTCCTCCGCCCTCCGAGGCCGAGAGCCCCAGACCTCGCCCCGAGGCCGTGCTGCCGGGCACGATGCCGGAGCGAACCTGGCCGTGGCGGCGATGGCCCCCAGGGCCCGGAGCCCCCGCAGGAGCTCGGGGGGGGTGGGGACGACGGCGCGCTCCGAAGCCCGAGCCCTCTCCGGGCACAGACAGCACGCTGCGGCGTTCGCTCGCGCGCGCGCGGTGCCGCGCGGTGCCGCGCGCGAGGCAGCGGGAGGTCAGGTCTGCGACGGTGGGGGGCAGGGTGCTCGCCCGCCCTGCCTGAGCCCCTGGCCTGCGTGCGGCCCCCGCCGCCGCGGCCATATGCTGGGGCCCGCTCGTGCCCGTGTGCGGGCCCCCGAGCGGCTTTCAGGGGCACTCCGCGGGTCAACTCCTGGAGGGCGCGGTGGGAACAATGCCTTGGGGAGGAGGGGGAGGAGGAGGAGGAGGAGGAGGAGGAGGAGGAGGAGGAGGAGGAGGAGGAGGAGGGGAGGAGGAGGGGGAGGAGGAGGAGGAGGAGGAGGAGGAGGGGGAGGAGGAGGAGGAGGAGGAGGGGGGGGGAGGAGGAGGAGGAGGAGGAGGGGGTCTGGCCCCCCGCTCCCACGAGGAGGTGCAGCCGGGAACCCTGAGGCGCTGGGACCTGCAACAACGAAGGCGACGACGAAGGCGACGACAACAACGACGAAGATGCAGACAACGACGACGACGACGACGACGACGACGACGACGACGACGACGACGACGACGACGACGACGACGACGAAGAAACCGACGAAAGCGAGGACGACGACGACGAGGACGACGTCGAAGATGACGGCGAGGACAACGACTTGGACGAATGCGAAGATCCCTAGACCGTGGCCAGCAGACGACGACGACGACGGCAACGACGACGACGACGACGAGACGATGACGACGACAACGACGACGGCGACGGCGACTGCGACGGCGACGACGACGACCTCGTCGACGACGATGACGACAACGACAACGACGACGACGACGACGAGGACGACGAAAACGAAGACGACGACGACGACAACGACGACGGGCGCTAAAGCCTGGACCGTGGCCACCAACGCCGCCAAGCGGTCGAGGCGGTCCTGGACTGGTCGCCGCGAGGGCGGGGCCCCGTCGCCGAGGGAGCATCGCTGACTCCACAGTCGCCGCCCTCGCCGACGGCGCCGGCGTCGTCGCCACCGTTGGAGATCGCCCTCCTCCTCCTCCTCCTCCTCCTCCTCCTCCTCCTCGTCCGCCTCGTCCACCTCGTCCTCCTCCTCCACCTCGTCCTCCTCCTCCATCCCCCCCTCCATGCCCCTCCTCCTCCTCCTCCTCCTCCTCCTCCTCCTCTTCCCTCTTCTCCTCCTCCTCCTCCTCCTCCTCCTCCTCCTCCTCCTCCCCCTCCTCCTCCTTCTCCTCCTCCTGGTGCGTGGGCAGGCTCCTCCTGCATACCCCCAACTGATAGCATTGGTGCCACGACGGGTGCTGCTGGCAGGCCTCTTTCTGCTGATTCCTGAGTCCCGCTACCTGAAGGATGCGTAAATCGTACGGCCGAAGCCAACCCAACCCTGCTCCGCAAGGCTGGCGTGCAAAGTGGCGCCACAAACCGAAAGGGTGGGCTCACACAGGAGAGGACAGGGAGAACGAGGAAGGGGACGACCTGGGAGGACACAAGCAGAGGAGGTGGAGGCGAGGAGGAGAGGGGCTCCCCCGGGAGGACAGGGAGAACGAGGCAGGGGACGACCTGGGAGGACACCCGCAAGAGGCGGGGGAGGCGAGGAGGAGAGGGGGGCGGTGAGCACGACCTCGCCCTCCTGCTCCTCCCCTCTGGGGCAATCCAGCGGTGCCGACACCGCCAATCCCCCGGACCTCTCCCTGGGCTCGTTCTGACCAGCATTCGAAGGCGAATCCGGCGGAGGCGACGAGGGCCTCCCCGGAGGCCCAGCGAGGGGAAAACGGGCGAAGGGCAGCGGGTAGCGGCACCCTTTCCTCCTCCGACTCTCTCTCGGGGAGTGGGGCTCCTGCGGCCCGTTCTTCTGCCGCACCCAGTCGAAGCTGCCCGCCTTCTCCGCCACCCGCCCCAGGCCGGCGCCGAGTCGGAGCTTCCCATCGCCGACGGCGCTCTTGCACCTCGGCCGCCAAACTTGCCATCGCTCGGACGTCCATTCCCGGCGCATCTGTTCGGTTTCGTGCGTCCACGGCTTCGGAAAGTGGTCCAATATATGCTCCTGAATGGTGCTCGCCAGGAAGAAGAACTCGCGCCCGAGCGATGCCAAGCGAAGGAGACAGGAGGAGGGGGAGGCAGGATGATACAGATAGAGAGCTGATAGTGGTGCAGGCCTCCATGATGGAATAAAGGATCAGATATTGGTAATGAGCAGAATCAGCAGCAAGAAAGCGAGAGAGACAGAAAGAGAGAGACAGAGACAGAGCGAAAGAGAGACAGAGAGGGAGAGAGAGAGAGAGAGAGAGAGAAAGACAGAAGAGAGAAACGGCATCTGGCCTGTACCCATAATGGTGAAATGATGCGCCTACCCACTTCTCGGCTCCCCCATGGAAGTTCTGAGGGAATCTTGATGACGAGTACCACAGTGCACCCAAGATGCATCATCGATGCTGCAATACACCCCTTCCGTCCCAAATCCCATCTCCAGATGTTACTGCAAGCCCCTCTTTTCACTACGGGAAGCGCCCCGTGGGCCTACGATTCAAGCGATAGCCCCGTTTTGAAATGGAGCTGCCACGCAAGCTTCGAGCAACGAACGGCGAAGGGGTAGGAGCAACAAGTTCAAACAAACAATGTCCACCGACTGGGGCGAGAGCCAGATTCAAAAAAGGGGCCGCCCTTTCGACAACTGCGCAAACACGCCGACGCTAGGGCGAGAAACACACCTTTTGAAACTGGCCAGGCACGTGCTGATAACCTGCGCAGCCGATGCAAATTCAGGCCCCGGGGACGTCGGCGGAGAGGAGTTCTCAGGCGAACCCCGCCAGGTCGCCATACTCGGGGAGACGTAAAACTCGGGTACGGGGGACTCGGGCTGGCCTGACGGGGGCCATCGTAAAAATGACGAGACCAAGTCTGACATTTGACGCGGGCCTCCCGCTGCAGACATCCCACGGAGATGGGGCCGTCACGATCCAGGACGCGCTCGTCAAAAAAGAGTCGGCAAACCCGAGTCCTGGCTTACTCGAGTCTCGGGGGGAACGAAAGGGGGGGATAGCAAAGGGTAGGGTAGAGAATCAGCTCGCGTAGCTGATTTTCCCAGCGCCTCCTGGCGCCGGGAGGCGCCCATGTATCGAGGAATGGGCCCGGCGGCGGAGCCGAAACCAGCTGCGTGCAGCAGATTTCGTAACCACCCCCTTTCCCTAATCCACCCTTCCGTTCGGCCCGAGAGTCTTGCGTCTCCCCGACGACGTGCTGCCTTGCGCTGCCCACGGCGCGCACCTCGTGGCAGAGCGGAAAAGTTGGGGAGCCTTCGCCCACGCGGGAGTCACTGAGTGGCGGGGTGCGGCGAGAGACCCCCTCCCCCTAGAGTGGAGGCCAGTCCACGCGAAACCTTCCACAAGGAACCCAACCCTGAGACCCCAGGACGTCCCTTGAATTCTGGTGTGGGAGCGTCGCGTTTTCCACAGCAAAGCCATCGAAACCCAAGAAACAGCGGGCACCCTGGAGGCAACCAGGGTGAGGAGTCATTGAGTGGCGTGGTGCGGCGGGAGTCTCCCTTCCCTTACCCCTCGGTCGAGCATGTCCCCATACAGGCGGATTTTGGACGAACATCAAAAATCGTCAAACAATCCTCCCGAATTGTCAAAAATACTTGTTTAAAAAATCGTCCCCATACTATTGTTTGACTATTTGGGAACATTCCTCCTGTAGAGGGACAGGCCCGACTTAACCCTACCCGCCCCTCGCCGGCACCGGTGGTGGCGGCCCGCCATAGACCAGAACGATGAGTTTACCCGCCCTGGCAGGGACCAATTCTAAGTCAACACTTCCAAGCCGCTGTGGAACAGGCACCCCTCGATGCTGGAAATTCTCGCCGTTCTTCGCCGGCGAACTTTCCCCCTTGTCGTGACGGATGGGGCCCAGACATCCGACGTCGTGACGTTTCCCAACCCTCCTGTGTTGGGTTCTCGTTTTGAGTATATCGCTGCTAGCGCGTCTCCGCCCGCCTCCTCCCTCCCCGCACCTCCTCCTGCATCCTGTGCGGTCCCTCGGGGGCTGCGAACTGCTCAACAGTCGCCGCTTTCGTGGGCTCCTGGGAGGCACGGCGGAGTGGAAGGCCACGCAGATCCAGGCGAGACCTCGCGCCAACCTCGGAGGCTGCGAACTGCGCAACTGTCGTCACATCTGCGGGCTCCTGGGACGCACGGCGAAGTCGAAGGCAGCGCCGATGAATGCGAGACCTCGCGGCTCCCTCGGGGGGCTGCGACCTGCGCAGCCGTCGCCGCTTTCGTGGGCTCGTGGGAGGCACGGCGGAGTGCAGGGCCACGCAGATCGTTTTGGAGACCTCGCGCCAACCTCGGCGGCTGCGAGCTGCGCAACGATCGCTCCTGTCGCGGGCTCTCGGGAAGGCACGGCGGAAGGCAAGGCCGCGCAGATCCAGGCGAGGCCTATGGCAGCTCCGTCGGGGGCTGCGAGCTGCGCACGCATGTCGCCACTCTTGTGGGCAACTGCGTGGCCCTCCTCCACTCGGCCGTGCCTCCCAGTTGAGCAGTGACCGACCGTCCCGGCAGGTCTATAGGCCTACAACGACATGTTCTTTGAACCCAAAAATGTTCAAATAGCAAAAACCCTGTTCTTGGAACGTCAACCCGATGTGTTAAAACAGGACAGCTCCAGCAAGAAATATTCTCAGAACATTTCGTGGGAACCACATACGGTTCTTTCTTTTTTCGCGCGAGAATGGAATGGCTGCGATCAGCCATGGGCCCATGGATCGAACACCCAACGGTGTGCGGCTCTGACCGCCAGCACCCTGCCGGGCAGAGGGGAAGTGAAACAGCCGCGGGAACCACATGAGGTTCTCAGAACAAGGCCTATAGGCACGCCAGGACGCTTCGCCACTGCTGGACCCAGGGAGCCCAGCAGAGCGGCGACAGCAGCTGCGCAGCTCGCAGCCCCCGAGGGCGGCACGAAGGCCCCTTTGGATCCTTCCAGGCTTCGCGCCTCCCGCGGGCACCGCGAACTGCACGGCTACGCCGCCGCTGCCGTGAGCTCGTGGGGGAAAAACGGCGGAGTGCAGGGCCACGCGGACCCGTTGCGACCTCGCAGCTCCGGCTGCAAACTGCGCAACTGTTGCCACCTTCGGGGGCCCCTTGGGAGACCTCGCAGCTCCGGCTGGGAGCTGCACAACCGTCGCACCGTCGCCACTGCCGTGAGCTCCTGGGGGAGGGACGGCGGAGTGCAGGGCAGCGCGGACCGTTGGAGGCCTCGCAGCGCCGGCCGCAAACTCCGCAACTGTGGCCGCCTTCGGGGGGCCCCTGGTGAGAGGCGGGGACTTATCCATGTCCACCGCCTGGGAACCGGCGTCCTGGTGCCCCAACGGGCGGTGGATCATGGGTATATTTTGGCCCCCAGGGGCCCGAATCTATCCACATCCACCGCCTGCCGAGGAGGTCCCCGAAAATTGATTGATCCTCCAGGCGGTGGTCATGTATAAATTTCCGCCTCGGTCCTGGGAGGCACGACGGAGTGCAGGGCCACGCAGATCGTTCATATCTCGCAGTGCCTTCTCGTGCACGGAGCGGTCAGATGTACTCGCCATGCGTGGAGAAAGGGCTGGGCTCGTCGCGGGCATGTGGAGGTCGTGACCCCGTCCCCGCAGCCGGGTCTTCATCCCGAGCCGTTCTCTCACGGTCCCAGGGCCCGGTTCTGTTGGTTCGGGTTAACCCAAAGGGGGGTCCAGCGACAAAGGGGTGGTGCAGTAGATGTGGCGCAATAGATTTGTGGTTGCAATACATTTGGGGCGTGCAATACATTTTGGGGCGCAGGTGTATTGCTGTATTTGCGCGTGCACTACATTACTTGCAATACAATGCAAAAACAAGTCTCCGGCGCAATACATTTGCAATACAATTGCCCCACATCCATCGCACCACCCCCTTTCAGCTGGACACCCTTTCGGGTCACCCCGATTAGTGGAAGTGCCGAGGGATCGCTTGTGTGACCCTGACGCAGTGTACCGAACCTTCCGTCGTGATGGCTTCGTAGCGCAACGACGTCAGGGTGTCTGGGTGGGCGCGCGCCTTGCCCGATTTGGGCGCCCTCTAAGCGACTCTAGCGGCCTGCGCGCCTGGGAATTGCCCCCCTCCCGCAAAGCCGCGCCATGGAGGCCACCCCCGCGGAGGGCCGTGCTCACGCGTGGCCAGATGCGGCGGGAGGCACAACTCGGGGAGCGCAGCCCGGCGTCGTCGTCGCCGCCGTCGCCGTCGTCGTCGTTGTCGTCGTCGTCCTCCTCGTCGTCCTCGCTGTCGTCTTCGTCGTCCTCGTCGTCGTCGTCGTCGTCTTCGTCGTCGTCGTCGCCCTCGTCGTCGTCGTCGTCCTCGTCGTCGTCGTCGCCCAGCGGCGCGCCGCTCACGGCGAGGGGGGGCGGCCCGGCACCGGCGCAGCGCGCTGCCCACGCTGCCCCTCTCGCGCCTCGGGCACGGGGGGGGAGGGGCGCCCAGGCGCGCCTTGGCGACGCCGCGGCGAGGGGAGGAGAATGCGTGAGAACCCAGACCTCCTCGCGATCACGACGGAAGTTTTTCACTATTTTCTGCCTCTGGGGGCCATCAATGGCCCTCGGGACCATCAAAAAACAACTCGGGATGAAAAACCGGTCCCGGGGAATGGGCCCGGACCTCTGGGGGTCGCG